TGTGCTATCAAAATCATGCCATGTTTTATAGGAAAACATTTTTCTAAAAATGTGTAGAAATATTAAAATAGTTTTTGGGATCTTTCTTTCAGAGTTAAGTTACTTCCTAATGAAAACAGAGAAATCTGAATAATCCACGAAAAAGAAATAGTGGAAAATATCACTTTTTAACCAGGGTGTTTTACTTCTACCTTTAGAACTAGTTCTAGTGATATATTGCATACCCTGCTCCTACATCCTGAACTCTATCCTATCTTTTCCTCTGTATCAGTGGTTCTCAACCTGTGGGTTTCCAGATGTTTTGGCCTTCAACTCCCAGAAATCCTAACAGCTGGTAAACTGGCTGGGATTTCTGGGAGTTGTAGGCCAAAACACCTGGGGACCCACAGGTTGAGAACCACTGTTCTATATGCTCAATTTGAAAAAGGATTTCAACAGAACTTGCAGGACTGGGGAGGGATTTACTCTAAAATTTCCTCATATGTAAAAGGAGCAACCAATGGGAACTTCTACTATTGGTGGTCTTCAGAGGCTAGAAAGAGAAATATACATGTAGCCCTTTACAGCAAAAGAATAAGTATCCATCACCATTTCAAAAAGCCGCACCTGAAATGCAAGGCTAGCATTCTACAGTCAGGAATAAAACGTGACATCAATGTCCCAAGACCCTTCACAGGCAGCAAGAATTGATCATGCAAGGGATGACCCCTTGCAACAAAAGCAAGAAGGAAATTCCTCTTGAAAAGGGACAGAACATATTTTGCATTCCCCATTACTGATGGTATCCACCATTCACAAACACATCTGTTCAAAAAATCATTTAACTCAAGGAACAATTTGTGCTGTCATATTACTGGTATATTCTTGTCTTATCCAATTCACTTTCATTTGCTCAAAGGCCAAGAAGAGTTACTTTAAATATAATTAAAATCTCACTTAAAAGGGCAATATAAGCATCTGTGATAGAGAGAATACTGCACATATGGTATCTTCTAAAATCAATGTGATGTTATGCATTAGTATAGAAGGTCAATGGCAGAATTGTTATTGAGTTCCGCACATCTCTGAAAAAAGAATGAGACATTTATGCAACTGTGAGAGGTAAGGATTTATTGATAACAGATCATCAAGCTGCCTCCAGTGGTCTGTACCAGCATGAAAAAGGCCATTCTGTGTTTTAGCAGAGATGCTAGCAGATTTATTACCAGGCCCCTACAGCCATAGCTCACTCCCTGAGCAAAGAAAGTTGACAAACTAGGACGTGGTCCATACATCACAGCTTGTCCTGTAGAATTTCATACTTCTGCAATATTTCACAAATGAAAACTAGGACATGAGAGGCCAAGCAACATCATAATATGGTCAAGATGGCAATGGCAATTTATTAATAAAAAAACAGACCAGCTAGGACAGGTATCCTCAAACTTTTTAAACAGAGGGCCAAGTCACAGTCCCACAAACTGTTGGAGGGCCAGATTATAATTTTAAGAAAACATGAATGAATACCTATGCGCACACTGCACATATCTTATTTGTAGTGCAAAAACACTTTAAAACAATACAATAATTAAAACGAAGAGCAATTTTAACAAATATAAGCTTATTAGTATTTCAGTGGGAAGTATAGGCCTGCTTTTGGCTGAAGAGATAGGATTGTTGTTGTTGTTGTTGTTGTTGTTGCTGTTGTTGTGTGCTTTCAGGTCATTTCAGATTTAGGCTGACCCTGAGCGAGGGCCGGGTAAATGACCTTGGAGGGCTGTATCTGGCCCTCGGGCCGTAGTTTGAGGACCCCTGAGCTAGGAGAAGGTGCTGCAGTTTACTTTTCCCAGAACCAACTGAAGGACAACATCTGTCCCCTCCCTTCACTGTTGAATTAACCAATGTTGACTACTTTGACACTCTGAACTCAGTTTGCAGCAACTGAAGGTAATTGAGTAAAGTATAATCTGGGACATTTTTAAAAGAAGCTGAAAAATGGGATGATATAAGAGTAATTAGGAGTAATAAGCATTTAATCTGAGTAAGGATGTGGATTCAAGAAAACCAGTTCTTTGTGGAGCACCTACAGAGGCGCCCCAGGAACTAGCTGGAGGCTGGGACAGTGGCCACAAAGATCTGCTAATTGTGGATCAATCTAATTCAATAATTACCCCTACTTTGGCTGGCAGGATGTGCCGATAAGAAGCCATCCATCTGATGAGAATCAACTCTAGATAAAACCAGGGCAAAGCAAGAAAGGGAAAGGGAATGTTCTCATGGGAATGTTGTGTCTTCCTCTCCAGCAGAAGGAATTTGTTTACCTTCCCCCTGAATTGTATATTCAGTTTCTCCTCCTGAATGCTTCGCGGCTTGGGAGTTCTCCTGGATTCATCACTGAGTCTGGAATCCCAGGTTGCAGCGGTGGCCAGGGGAGTGTTCGCACAATTAAAACTTGTGCGCCAGCTGCGCCCATACCTTGGGAAGTCAGACTTGGCCATGGTGGTCCAAGCTCTCGTTACATCTAGGATAGACTACTGCAACGTACTCTACGTGGGGTTGCCTTTGAAGACTGCTCGGAAGCTTCAAATAGTCCCAACGAGAGGTAGCCAGGTTAATAACTGGGGTGGCATAAAGGGAGCATACAACTCCCATGTTACGCCAGCTCCACTGGCTGCCAGTTTGCTACCGGGCACAATTCAAAGTGCTGGCTTTGGCCTATAAAGCCCTAAACGGCCCCGGCCCAAATTACCTCTCCAAACGCATCTCTCCCTATGAACCATCGCAGAGATAGAGATCCTCTGGGGAGGCCCTACTTTCCGTCTCACCATTCTCATTCACAGTCACGATTGGTGGGAACAAGAGACAGGGCCCTCTTGGTGATTGCTCCCCGGCTATGGAACTCCCTTCCTGGTGAGATCAGGTTGGCCCCCTCTCTCCTGTCCTTTAGAAGGATGGTAAAAACTTGGCTGTGGGACCAGGCTTTCGGGACAAGGCAATAAAGCGGCAATAGGAAAGATGACCAGGTCAATGATTTGACGCAGATGACTAGGACGGTTTTAAGTGGTGTATTTTAATATTTTGATAAATGTTTTTTAATGTTTATGTATTGTATGTGAATCTGTGTCCCGGCATTGAATGTTTGCCGTGTATATGCTGTGTCCCCTTCGGGGTGAGAAGGGCGGAATATAAATGTTTCAAATAAATAAATAAATAAACAGTAGCCATTTCCTGTGTGCCAGGGGGTTGGAATAGATGGCCCATGTCGTCACTTCCAACTCTATTATTCTATGATTCTGTTATTCCTCAGAAGCGCTCCACATTCTGGTCCCAGGCTCCTGCTCTAAGGTAAAGTAAAGGTAAAGGTTTCCCTAACATTAAGTCTAATCATGTCTGAATCTGGGGGGGGGAGGGGTGCTCATCTCAATTTCTAAGCCGAAGAGCTGCTGCTGTCCATAGACACCTCCAAGGTCATGTGGCTAGCATGACTGCATGGAGTGCCAATACCTTCTGCAAGCGGTACCTATTTATCTACTCACATTTGCATGTTTTCAAACTGCGAGTTTGGCAGAATCTGGGGATAACAGTGGGAGTTCACCCTGCTCCCCGGATTCGAACCATCAACCTTTCGATCAACAAGTTCAGCAGCTTCGCGGTTTAACCCGCTGCACCACCAGGTGGCCCCTGCTCTACATGGGATAGATGATTGGCTGCAGAAGATTTTATGGCCTGAACTGGAATATCAGATGAGGTTTTTTTAACACACCATTTATGGATATGCAGTTTTGGTGTATACACCACATTAGCCCAGTAAACAGAGGCCCAATAGCTGGGACCATTTACGGTGATTTAAAGAGGTGATCTCTCTTTCTTTCAACTAGCTGCATGAAATGTGACAGGCTATTTTTAAAAACCAAGGCTACTATCCTATAATTTTACATAGCATTTTAAAGCCAAAAGTCTACGAAGATAAACAGGAGCAAACTTTGCTGAAACTAGTGTAAACCCTAACCTCTGCCTCAATTGAATCTTCAACAAATTTTATCAAATTGTCATATGGTGGAGCAATTTTGAGAAATACTCAGAAAAATCTGAGAGTGGGGAAATGATTGTGAATATATGGCCTACTAGCCATCCCCTGCCATGCGTTGCAGTCTATGTATATGTGTGTGTGAATTTGTGTATATGTGTATACACGTGTATTTGTGTGTACATGTGGTTTTGTGCATGTGTTGTATTTTTTTTTGGCTTTTAAAGTCTCTTCTGCTGTGTTTTTCAGTGTTTTTATGAGTGATGGTCACTCGTTGGCCTAATAGGTGTATTGTGTCCAAATTTGGTGTCATTTCATCCAATAGTTTTTGAGTTATGTTAATCCCACAAACGAACATTACATTTTATTTATATAGATGGGATGGGTTAAACCCTTGTGCTGGCAGGACTGCTGACAAAAAGGTCGGCGGTTTGAATCTGGGGAGTGGGGTGAGCTCCTGTCTGTAGCTCCAGCCTCTCATGCGGGGATTTGAGAGAAGGCTCCCACAGGATGGTAAAACATCTGGCGTCATCTGGGTAACATCCAGACATAATTTTTCACTAAGGTCCATAATTAGATGATTTTCAAGCTTGAAACATAAGATAGTGATACCAACTTTAATTTACTCAAAGTTGGTAAATCCTAAACTTTTGGGGGGAATGATCACCTCTCTCTCAAAAAGGCAAGCAGATCCATCAGTTTCTGAAAATGTGTCACAAATTATTTATGTCTCAAAGGGCTAAAACTGCTGTAGGGCAAGTTCTTTCTTAGTATCTTAAAAAGTATAATTGCAGTTCTGTGCCTGTCAATACAGATATTCCGATGCTAGCAAGCTGACAAGCCCATCATAATAAGCCTCTTAAAGAGTTCAATTGCTTCCGAAGGAATGCCCTATTTGCTTAGGCCATAATCTGTCATATTAAAAAGGCGTTTCTCAGGGGAGTCTTCCATCATTGCTTCTTTCACAAGCGTATGCATTTGTCAATGAGACAACTCAACACAGCATTGCTGCAATTTGAAATTATGCGTCCTTATTTGAAAGAACTACTCAGCGTAGAAGACTTCTCTCCCTTGGAAATACCCCAAGGCATTGGTACAGTATGCTAGACATAAACATCAGCAAATATAAGATCTAGGGAGCTTTATAGAGAGATCACTGCATTTAATTAGAAACATATTTTTTTATCATTATCCTGTTTTTTTCCTTGAATTCCCTCAGTACCTTTCAGTTAAAATCATGCAGTGATAGAAAGAGGGAAGGCATATTAATAAGCTCAGGCATTAACTCTGCAGCTATTCAGGTTTTAGCACTCTTCTGCTCTTGTCAAGACTGTCCTTGAAATCTTTCTGAGATAACAGTGAAGCTATATAGGCAATACATGATTCAGAACTGAATATATTAGACTGGATCCTTCTAGTGTGAATGCTTTCTGAATAGATATAAATATCTCCCTCTGGGGTTCAGAGGACCACCAAAATTTCTTCCTTTGCATAACTACAAATCCCTTATGGTTTAATCAAAGTTATGACTACACTGCTTTAATATCCTGAAATCCTTATCACTTATCCAAAATATTTTTTTCGTGTCAGGAGCGTCTTGAGAAACTGCAAGTTATTTCTGGTGAGAGAGAATTGGCTGTCTGCAGGGATGTTGCCCAGGGGATGCCCAGATGATTTACCATCCTGTGGGAGGCTTCTCTCATATCCCCACATGAGAAGCTGGAGCTGACAGACGGGAGATCACCCTGCTCCCTGGATTTGAACCACGGACCTTTTGGTAAGCAGTCCTACTTGCACAAGGGTTTAACCCATTGCACCACCAGCGACTCTTATCCCATGGCCCACTTTCATTCTTACCTTTTAAAAATCAGAAATCTAGAGTCCTTGCAGAGTTGTCTAGTGCTCATAATATTTTGAAAGCCATGGGAATGGCTAATGGATTTTCCATTTAATCTCCATCTGGCTAAATGCGACAGAACCTATTTTGTCTCACCTTGATGTAGTTCAATCTGACCAAATTTCACAGTGCCTCTTTCTTGGGCCAGCATTTGTTAAATATGAAAGCTACAAAATCACATAATGCATATACTCCTTATAAAATATAAAAATAGTTAATAGATTGGAGGCAGTTAATTTTATTCGCTCCAAAAAAAATTAAGATTATTGCTTTCATGTTATCACACAGTAGAAATCAACCACTGTTACTCAGTAAATAGTTATTGCAGAAACACAGGGAAAGGATAATTACACATTACTCAGACGATTTACCAAAATTAATTCTGTACATGAAAGAGCCTAACATTTAATTCTTGCTGCCATATTTTTGTTGGGCTAGATTGAGCTGCCATATTTCAGAACATAAAGCTGTTTCACACTCCAAATAAACCAGTCTTTTTTAAATTAATGGGGAAAGAGGCTAAATATAAACTGTCCCTTTTCAAAGGAGGTGCACATGAGACCTGAAGCACAAATTGGTTGAAGCAACATGCTGACAAGTCAGTACCTGCCAAAAGTCCTGATGGGAGGGGAAAAGGTTAGGAAGAAAGGGAAGAAAGTGAGCAACTGTTTTGGTTACAAAAATAAAAATGAACAAATTACAGAGAACACATCATAGCAGGAGGAACCACAGAACAAAGGAACAACAAAAATCAATTAATGTTTCAGGAACGAGAAGGCTCCACACCTCAAAACCAAGAAATAATAGAAAGCAGAGAAGATCAGTAACATTTGGAAGTGATCTGCTAAAATGTAATGAATAGAGATTAGTAGTTACTAACAGCAGAAAAAAGAGAGAAGAGAAACTAGTGAAATGCTTCCAGTTTATGCCAATATCGCAGTATGATTAGCTGTTTGTTCGCAGAAACAAAAGAAATCTCCCCATAGTACCCCCATATTCTTGCAGTCCTCAACCTGATGCCCGCCAAATGCAAATGTTCCTGCTATAGACTACAGCTCCCAGAATTCCTATGGTAAAAAGATAAAGGTTTTCCCCTGACATTAAGTCCAGTCGTGTCTGACTCTGGGTGTTGGTGCTGTTCTCCATTTCTAAGCCGAAGAGCTGACATTGTCCACAGACAACTCCCAGGTCATGTGGTCAGCACGACGGCATGGAGCACCGTGTCATGTAATATGTTCTGCAGTTGATGGTGGTTGGTGATGGAAGGGTTGATGTAAGTATTAGTTCTAATGGGTTGAGTAATCTGTAAGTAAGAGTTCATGGGTGAAAGCAATTAAGGGTGGAGGTGTGCAAGAGGTAGGCTGCAGCTGGGTGTTTCTGGATATAAGTAGCAAGCCTTGGAAATGATCTTGGGGAGAAAAGTATTTGGTGGTGGATGCTGCTGGTTTTCCCCCAGGTCTCTGGATTTTTGGTATCCTGACTTGTCTCCTGAACTCTTAGAATCCTGGAACCTTGGCTCTTTGGACTGGCTGTTGGCTACGGTAGACTTATTGAATTCTCGGCGTTTGACCACTGGACTGGACCTTTGACTACGGTGTTATCTTGAACCTGCAACAGTGTTTGCTATTTTTGTTTATTCTGTGGCTGAGTGCTATCTTTGTGTTTTATATTTTGGACAATTCAAACAGCCAGAAAGTAAGTGCTGTTTTAATTAAATTGTTTTATGCAAACTGGGTTTTCGTTTGGTTCATCTCTGCCTCTGAATAAGGCAGAGCCCTGACAGCATGACACACTGTTACCTTCCTGCCAGAGCAGTACCTATTGATCTACTCACATCTGCATGTTTTTGAACTGCATAACTTCCCTGGATCTAGACACTATACTCCCATTGATGCAGGCCAAAATCTCTTTGGCTTTTTTTGCCGCCACATCACACTGTTAGCTCATGTTTAACTTGTTGTCCATGAGGACTCCAAGATCTTTTCCACATGTACTGCTCTAAATTGGCAGAAGCAGGGGCTAACAGAGGAAGCTCACGTTGCTCTCCGGATTCGAACTTGTGATCTTTCGATCAACAAGCTCACCAGCTCAGCAGTTTAACCCACTGTGCCACTGGGAGCTGCAGAATTCCTATAGGACATTAAATGTCTTCCACTGAATATATAAGGTTAGGTTATTTGAAGGCCGTAGCTTTCCCAAGCTCTGGCTGGAGTTCAAATCTAATCATTTGCAGCTAGCACAGCCCATTTTACTTCAGCTGCTAATAATGGGTATTCCAGTTCAACACATGATTTGGGGAGACTGCTATATTCCATGCATAAAACTTAACGACTAATTTAATTATCTTTAAAGAGACGTCTACCCTGATGGGCAACACCTGGATTATGACTAAAGCATAACAAAATTAAACACTGCTTTTAAAGATTAATGGCTAGCCCCAGGTTGAAATCTGAGATGGATATAAACCACAAACTACAGTCTGAGTTCTCCTGCAAAAGAAGCTTATTGGAAACTAATACAACACACTTACATTCTGGGTTTGGGTTTCCCACACCCTACAAAACATAGCACGAGAAGATATCCCAATAAAGCAGGATAATTTAATGAATAATAAAATAAAAATATGGGAATAAATTGATGTACGGACTGTGCACAAGGAAATACAGAAAATTCAGTGTATGCTCTGTTATGAAAAACTTTTCATCTGAATTCTCTTTCAGATTAAGTTCTTGACAGTTTGAGTTTTCTGTTAGGCAGCAGCAGTATAGAACAATACATATGGAAAGAATCACCTTACACAGTACTACAGGTAATATAAAAGTTTTGAAATGGTTTAGCAGAGTGAGTTCATATTCTCAGAACAGATTCAGTCTTCTAATGTAAAACTAAGCTATATGTAAAATGTACATAAAATAAAACAGATCTGGAACATGATTCACATTTCCCGACAACCAGTCGCGGACAAAATTATAATAACAATTTAAGGAAACTCATTTCTGGCATATTAAAAGAATGTTAACAAGACCTGATGTGCAAATCTTTCTGAGTGATATCATAAATCTGTACTGCCTCCTCAACAGAACTCAGCGTTATTATTCCAAAACAATAAACATTTGAGACTTAGGTCCCTTCAACACAGCCATATAACCCAGAATATCAAGAGAGATAATCTACAATATCTGCTTTGAACTGAGGGCCCTTCCACACATTCCTATATCCCAGGATATCAAGGCAGAAAATCCCACAATATCTGATTTGAACTGGGTTATCTGAGTCCACGCTCATATAATGTGGGATTTTATGGTCAGTCCAGTCACTTCAAGGATACCATCCATCCATCTTGCCCTTGGTCGGCCCCTCTTCCTTTTTCCTTCCATTTTCCCCAGCATAATTGTCTTCTCTAAGCTTTCCTGTCTTCTCATTATGTAGCCAAAGTACTTCACCTTTTCCTCTAATATCCTTCCCTCCAGTGAGCAGTTGGGCTTTATTTCCTGAAGCATGGACTGGTTGGATCTTCTCACGGTCCAAGGCACTCTCAGAACTTTCCTCCAACACCACAGTTCAAAAGCATCTATCCTCCTTCGCTCAGCCTTCCCTATGATCCAGCTCTCACATCCATAGGTGACTACAGGGGATACGATTTCTTTTGTCGAAGGCTTTCATGGCCGGAATCACTGGGTTGTTGTAGGTTTTTTCGGGCTATATGGCCATGTTCTAGAGTTCACTACCTCTGAGGATGCTTGCCATAGATGCAGGAGAAACGTCAGGAGAGAATGCCTCTAGAACAGTGGTTCTCAACCTGGGGTCCCCAGATGTTTTGGGCCTACAACTCCCAGAAATCCCAGCCAGTTTACCAGCTGTTAGGATTTCTGGGAGTTGAAGGCCAAAAACATCTGGGGACCCCAGGTTGAGAACCACTGCTCTAGAACATGGCCATATAGCCCGAAAAAACATACAACAACCCTACAATTGCTTTTACTATGCAGATCTTCATTGCCAATGTGATGTCTCTACTCTTCACTATTTTATCAAGATTTATTTACTATATTTATATATTTATTTACTGCCATATAATCCAGTTCAAAGCAGATAACGTGGGTTTTTATGCAGCTGTGTGGAAGGGGCCTTAATCTTCCTTTTTACAGGAAGGCCAAGAAAAAAAATGAGATTCTGCAAGTCAGTATATGGCCATGTAAAAAGGTTTCGTAGCCAATTCTCCTACAACCTTCTCATGAGAGAGAAAAATGATAGCAGCTTCATCACAACCTCCATCACTGCCATCATTCAATCTCCTTTTGCTACTGTCACATTAAAAGAGTCTATCCTCCCAGCCAACTGGACTGGAGGAGAGGTGGGTGGCAATGATATCCCATTTGGGCAATGAGCAGAACGGACTAAAGTGTAAAAAGCAACAATAACAACAAAAGATTCATTGCAGTCAACTACAATGCTGCACATTTGGGCTAGGCACTGGATTGAAACCTCCTCTTGCATGTAGGCTTATGGGAAGTCAACTGCTCTCCAGCATAAGCAGACTAGGCCTGCATCAGTGGGAATGACAGAGGCCATTTTCTGTGAGCTCTTTAAAATACATCAGCATTATTGTATTCCATTAAAATGAAAGGTCAGCCAATAAAAAGTCAAAGCAATAAGGCAGTAAGCAAATTTCTTTCTCCCTAAGGTAATTACTTGATGAGGTATAGAAGTGAACAAGGAGGTAAGCCCAACTTGGAAATCTGCACCTCATTTTCAAATATAGCGTCATATTTCTAGTAGAGGCTTAAACACAGTGTGAAGGATGTGTGATTGTAGTTATTGATACCCAACAAGAAAAGTAATCTTCCCATTTCAGTTTTTGAGAAGCTGAGCTATTTTACACATTGCATTTTTGAAGTAGGGGGAAAAAACAGTGAATAATGGACTTAAGTTTTTCTTAAATAATTTTTGTTGCAAATACATATTCAAAAACTTAGGCTGAGTAGGAAAAATATTGCTGGTAAAGAAGTCTGGAGAATAAGAGTAAAGAACAGTGTTTTTCAAAAAATTAAGTATGATCTTGTTCATCCAGTATTAGTGCAATGCAAGACAAGTAGAGGAAGGCTGTTTAGTATGGTATTTTTTTCCATTCACCATAGGATTTTTTTAAAAAAAAATTAAAACCCGACAAGCTCTGCTCTAAAACCGACACAGCTTTGTTAAAATAATATATCGTGTTATAAGAGAGACTATACATTCCACAAGTAGCTAAAATAACAATTGGCATGCAATAAGAATTTAAAGACTCTCACCTTTCCATCGTAGCGTTTTACCACAAACTGATCAAGACCTAGGTCTGAAAGGAAGAACAAGGACAGCAAATTAGATTGCTTAACTAATATGACATTGAGGCTGGATATACACTGCCATATAGTACAGATTATCAAATCAGACAATCTACATTATCTGCTTTGTACTGTATTATATTTATTTTATTTATTTACTATATTTATATCCCATTCTTCTCACCCTGAAGGATACTCAGAGTGGCTTACATAATTGGGCACAATTTGATGCCACAATTCAACAATATACAAGCAATACAATATATAAACAATAAAATAAATGAAACATAAATATCATAAAGCTTTAAAACATTAAAACATAGTACCTAGTCCTGCCATCACCCTTTATATTGCTACATTATGTCAGATCCATATTGCACTACCCAAACACCTGATTGCATAACCAAGTTCTCACCCTTTTTCTAAAGACCAGGATGGAGGGGGGCCAGTCTGATCTCACTGAGGAGGGAGTTCTATAGCCGAGGGGCCACCATTGAGAAGGCCCTGTCTCTCGTCCACACCAATCGAGCCTGCGATGGAGGTGGGATCAAGAGCAGGGCCTCCTCGAAGATCTTAACATTCTAACAGGTTCATAGGGAGAGATATGTTTGGATACGTAAGTTGGGCTGGAACCATTTAGCACTCTGAACTGTGCTCGGTAGCAGACCGGCAGCCCGTGGAGCTGACACAACAAGGGGGTTGTGTGCTCGCTCTACCCCATCACAGTAAGGGACCTGGCCACCAACCGTTGGGCTACTTGAAGTTTCCCAACAGTCTTCAAAGGCAACCCCACATAGAGCATGTTACAGCAGTCTATTTGAGATGTAACAAGAGCATGGACCACTATTGCCAAGTCTGGCTTCTCAAGGTGCGGGCACAACTGGCACACAAGTTTTAATTGTGCAAAAGCTCTTGGGGCCACCACCAAGACATGGGGTTCCAGGCTCAGCAATGAGTCCAGGAGAACTCCCAAGCTGCAAACCTGTGTCTTCAGAGTGAATGTAACCCGATCCATCACAGGCTGTAACCCTATACCCTGTTCAGCCTTTCGACTGACCAGTAGTACCTCTACCTTGTCTGGATTCAGTTTCAATTTGTTTGCCCTCATCCAGATAATCACAGCTGCTATGCATCGGTTCAGGACCTGAACAGCCTCCTTATATGAGTCTACATTGGCATATAATCCAGTTCAGAGCAGATAATCTGGATTGTATATGGCAGTGTAGACGGGGCTTGAGTTAAGTGATACTGTTACACATGAAAAAACTTTCTTCCACTTTCAATTTTGAAATATCACAACACATCCTACTGATGGATTCCAAACAGAGCTAGAAATGACAAATTTTCAGGATGTTGAAAGGAACAGACTTTAGTTAGATCTCGTGTGAGAAGATGAAACAGACGAGCAGGCATGGCTGTAGATAACAGAACTAGAGATTTCACAGCAATCTGTCATTTGCCACCATCAAATAGAGCCAGAAAAAGAAAAAGAAAAAAGTACTACCAAAACTACATAGAGTTTTCACTATTTACAACTCTCAGGCTTCTGTGAGACCTCTTTTCCATCTGTAGTGAATAAATTGAGTAAGAAGCGGTAAATGGTACGTTTCACTACTCAAATAAAATTGCAACAAACTGGATCGGAGAACTATGTGAGGAAGACACACCTCAGCAATACCACTGTTTTACAAAGTTAGTCCAAAAGTTCAAAAAATGCTATATAGGGCTACAACACTTCTCAGGTTTCTGCAAGAGGCTATAATACAATGTCTGTGACAAACAGATGACCACAGTTGGTTACCTTTCCAGACAACTTGTAAAGTATGACAAATGAACTTATTCTTGTAACTGGATGGTGGAAAGGCTACTTGGAGAATCACATAATGAGAAACTCATATAGATTTTGAGGATTGGAAACAAAAATATAAATAGATTTTTTAAAAGAATATGCTCTAAATATCTGATGAAATAACCCAAAATCCATCACATCTGAAAGTTACTCATAGTTTCTCATACTATGTGGCAACAATTAGAGATTAAAATAGATCATAGGGAAATGTACCTTATCTGGGCTATTAAAAAGAGTGAAGCTAGTGAGTATTATTTGGTTTCAACTTAAATATTATGTTGCACTGTCTTTGTTGTTGTTTATTCGTTCAGTCGCTTCCAACTCTTCGTGACCTCATGGACCAGCCCATGCCAGAGCTCCCTGTCGGCCGTCACCACCCCCAGCTCCTTCAGAGTCAAGCCAGACACTTCAAGGATGCCATCCATCCATCTTGCCCTTGGTCTGCCCCTCTTCCTTTTTCCTTCCAGTGCTATACATATTCACTTGCCCAATGTGCCACCTTGGAGCCTGAGAATGAAACCCAGCAAGGAGTTTTAAGGTTAGAAGAGTAGGATGAGCAATAGGAGCCCAACTACTGGAACGGCATGGGGAACCTGGAGACGAAATCTGTCACACAACCAAACTTTTAGACCTAGTTACGTCCCTTTAAAAGGCAATCCCTGAAACGCCCGAGGCCAATTTCCCAATGAGGCGCTAAGTGGCAAGGAGATGGAAATACAACAGATTTTGTTTGCAAATCGAGACCTGTGGGTAGCAGCAGTGAAAAAAAGCGCAACACTGGATGAAGCTTCTCATGAAGTTTTTATAGGATTGGCAAGTACATTTTCACACCTTCAAACATTTCTCCTTACATGCCTCTCTTTCTCTTTTACATTTCATCCTGTACATATGGTAGTCTGGTTAACTGTTTATCAAAATAATTCTAGTAAGCAATTTCCCCACAATTTCCCAATTACAAATCATTCAATCTATCAAACATCATTTGGACTTCCTGGGCCCTGTTTGAATTTTTCCTCCTTCCTTTGAGGCTCCCATTTGGTTCAATCCATCAAAACACAATTCCTGTTTGAATTATCTTACGTCTGAGACTGTTGCTTCTCCCTGATGTTTATTAACCTGCCCCGTCTGTTTAAGCTTCCTGGCTTGAGATTTCCCATGCAGACCCTTCAATTGATTTCTATTGCATAACGAAGAATGGCTATGTATTGTTTATTGTTGGGTTCTGTTTCCTTACAGCTTTTATTGCCCTGCTTATGTGAGCCTTTTTCATGTACGTTTCTCGTAGTAAACTCTTCTATTGATCTCTTCTATGAAAAAAGACTGAGACTATTTATTAATCAAACCTATTCTTCATACTATTGCTATTTATTAATCAAACTAGCTGTTACCTGCCATGCATTGCTGTGGCCCAGTCTGTGTATATGTGTTTTGTGTGTGTATATATGTGTATGTGTGTGTTTGTGTATACATGTATATACGTGGATTTGTGCATATATGTGGTTTTGTGCATGCATTGTAATGCATTTTTAAGGTCTTGTCTACTGTGTTTTTCAGTGTTTTTATGAGTTATAGTCACTTGTTGGCCTGATAGGTGTTGTGTGTTCACATTTGGTCTCAATTCGTCCAGTGGTTTTTGAGTTATATTAATCCCACAAACTAACGTTACATTTTTATTTATATAGATTAGGTCCTTGTCCCCTTCAAAACAGTGAAAAAGAAAAAAAGGAAAAACAATGAATGAGTTCACAGTCACAAATATTATTTTTGTAGACATTAGAAATTAAGGAACATCCTTGTCAGAAAAGCTTGATTGCAAATTGTTTGGCATACACTGAAATTTTTCTAAAAGGTTAAATCATGTAAGAAGCAGAAATATAGATGAATAGGATTTTAAAAATATGGTTTGGTAAAAGAAACGGTAATGAATGAAAATTGTATGACAATGACAGGTACTGACAATAGTTAGATACAGTTTTCTCAGAATTATGACTCTTCTATGTGTGTTTTTGTTATTGTTTTTTAAGAGCATATACAAAATGAGTTACTGGAGGAGATCTTAAATAATGTCACAGCATCTTATTACTCAGACAGTAAGATGAAAGGAATGAGGGTGGGAAAACAGCCTTTGATCATTGAGGCAAAGAATATATCATCACCACCTGTTTACGAGTAAAAATGAGTAAAAATGATAAAATGCTTCACATTTTTTCAGAAGTTCATAATAGTCAAGGTGCAGAAAGTGGAGTTATTAATCAATTCAGAATATCTATTAGACTCTCCCAAGCCAAAGCAATATACCTCCATGGTCATCAATTTTAAAATCCAAAAGCAAAGTTATAAATTTGTCAAACAGCATACTGGATTTGTAGATTTTATATTAACGAGCGACCATCTGAACAGATTTTGGGGAAGGGTACTTGACAGAAGACTTTTAATCCCCTTTATAGCCAATGGCACAAATTTAAGCACATGCTTAACTTTCTCCTCTCAAGGTCAATGAGATCTGAAAGTGCTTAACTCTGACTTGGGAAGTCACTATAAATTTGTATTAAATCCATGCACACCTCTAACCACTACTGGCATCAAATATACCCATTCTCTAGATTCATGGCACTCAACAAAGTAATATCAGAGATAACTGCCAACACTTATATTTGGGGCTGAAATTTGGGGGCACATCCATTTGGTCGAAGCCTTCCAAGCTAAGCTGCTTCGCACCCTCCTGGGTCTTTCCAGAACAATGCTGATGGCGGCAGTAAGGGCAGAGCTAGGAATGCCCCCAGTAAAAGCTCAAATCCTAATGAGACAGTTTAATTACTTATGAAAAGTAAACTGTATGGATCCCTGTTATAAGGAAACCTGGGGAAAACCATACCAGCCGATTGCCATTAATTATAAGGAACTAAGCAGGGAAAGGAACAGGGGTTTTTAAATTGGTGAATCCCACAAGCTGCCAACCAAATTATATATAGGTGCAGGGGAAATTTTAAAACAGGAAAGAGGCAACTGGGAGATCTTGATACTGTTTCTTCAATTGTTTTTGCTGCCACCTTTTTGTTTGGTATTAAGGCTGAGTTGTATGTTAAGAGTATACTTAGTAACACCCTTTTGTGTTACAATAGTGTTTGTTTTATTTAGAGGGTTTAACTCACAATGAGTTCA